TAAAGGATTCCCAGAATCTATTTAATGACAGGATATTCAATTCCAGAAAATCCAATCAAAGATTATAAAAAGACTGAAACCCAATAATCCCATTCTGCTCATCTTCTTTCTGAGGGGGTATTAATAAAACAGTTAAACAACAATCATGTTGTAGACATACTACATCTACGTACATAGCATGATTCAAATCAGACATTCCTTCTAAATCTGAGATGCCCAATGTGGTCACCACTAACTACATGTGACTATGGACAATTTGAAATTCGGCTAGTTTGAACTGATTTGTAATCTAAGGTTAAGATGCATACCAATTTCAAAACTTTGTACAATAAAAAGCATATAAACTATCTCAATAATAATATTCTCACATTGATTATGTGTCAAAATAATAGTATTTTAATGTATTCAGTTAAATAAGATAAATTATTAAAATGAATTTCATCTGTTTATTTTTACTTTTTTCAGTGTGGCTAATAGGACATTTTAAATTACATATATAGCTTGCATTGTATTTCTATTCGACAGCAGAGCTCTAAATAAAGATGAAACTTTTCATAATGCTATTCCTCTCAGGACAGTTTTCAGGAAGAGAATTTTAAGTATCAGGGTTAAGGTTACTTCATGTTTTCTGGCCAAATTATCTGGCTTTGTCAAAGATTGAAACCAACATGAAATCTTTATAATCAAGTGGGTTTAAGCATGGCCATATAATAAAATGTTTGCCCTGCGTGATGTCATTGAATATTTGACCGATTATCTCTGATCTCCAGTAACACATAAACCTGTGGTTCTGGAACTTTAGGGGGCCTTTAGGAACGAGGCAAAGAGTGCTCACTTCGGCAGCACATATACTAAAATTGGAAAGAATGAGGCAAAGAAATGACCTCAGTAGATCCCCTAGAAAACTTTCCAGGAACCCCCAATACAGACACTATGTTTGAATGAAAACAAGATGGCTACAGACTGATTTGGGTCCCCCACAAACTCGTACGCTGAATCCCTAACTTCTAACGTGACTGTATCTGGAGATTGAACCTTTAATAGAAGGTAACTAAGGTTAAAAGAGGTCATAAAGGCGGAGCCCTAATTTGATAAGATTGGTGGCCTTATAAGAAGAGGGAGAGAAAGACTGCTGTCTCCCTATGCCATGTAAGGGTAGCAGTGCGCAAGCTAAGGAAAGAGCCCTCACCAGAAACTGATCCTGCCACACCTAGGTCTGAAACTTGCAGCCTTTAGAACGGTAAGAAAAGAAATTGCTGTTAAGTCACCCAATATGTGGTATTTGTTACGATAGCCTGAGCAGGCTACTACAATAGTCCCCCTTTATCCATGATTTCGGTTACTTGCAGTCACCTATGGCCTGCAAATATTGAATGCAAACTTCCAGAAATAAACAATTTATCAGTTTAAAATTGTGCCCCATTTTGAGCGGCATGATGAAATCTTTAGCCAACCCACTCCTTCTGACCTGGAACGGGAATCATTCTTTAGCCCAGCGTATTCTTGGTAGCTGGTTGGTTATTAGGAAACATAAAACAAAAACAACACAGTATATATGGGGTTTGATACTAACATAGTATATACGGGGTTCAGTACTATCCTCAGGTTCAGACATCCCCTGAAGGTCTTGGACATATTCCCCAAGGAGAAGGAGTGGCTACTATACGGATACCTGCCACTTAAAGCCATCTCACTTCATGTTTTATTTTATATTTCTATTTTTTGGTAGAGACTGGGTCTCATGATGTTATCCAGGTTGGTCTTGAATTCCTGGCCTTAAGCAATCCTTCTGAATCCCAAAATGTTGGGATTACAGGTGTGAAACACCACACCTGGCCCCAAGCAATCTCATTTTAATTAAATATTATAATTAATCTTAATACTAAATGTGATATATATTTTTGTTAGATAAGAGCATAGTGATTTGCACAAAATGCAGAGTAAATAGACATTTATTTTCTCTAAAACTTAATAAGACAGGCCCAGCCTGTGTCCTCTGCAGGCCAACTCACTCATACACCAACTCTGGAAAGCCAGGTTAAAAAGGGTCAAGGAGAAATGACTACTATTTAAAAATATTCTTACTCAAATATTTTATTCTTAACTCTATCAAAAATATTCTCTTCAGTAAATGGAATTTGCATTCCCACTTGAACTGAAAATGCTAAGTTGTTAATACCTTCTCCAGGGATTTACTTCTTGGGATGACACCTTCACTGAGTTCATCATAGTTTAAGCACAATAAAATCTCATTATATGCTCCAAGGCATGAAGGATCCGGGAAGTTCCTTAGTCAGTGTAGAACTTAGCCTTACGGCTTTGAGAATAACATTTTAAAAGGCATTACATAAAGAAAGAATGGATCCCAGCCTGAGGAACAAAATTGTATGCTTTGTGTCTTTAAAAACATCCAAAACAGCCGGGCGTGGTGGCTCACGCCTGTAATACCAGCACTTTGGGAGGCCTAGGCGGCCGATTACTTGAGGTCAGGAGTTTGAAACCAGCCCGGTCAACATGGCAAAGCCCCATCTCTACCAAAACTACAAAAAATTAGCTGGGCGTGGTGGCCCATGCCTGTAATCCCAGCTACTTAGGAGGCTGAGGCAGGAGAATCACTTGAACTCAGGAGATGGAGGTTGCAGTAAGCTGAGATCGCACCATTGCACTCCATCCTGGGCGACAGAATGAGACTCTGTCTCAAAAAAAAAAAAAAATCCAAAATATCTTCAGGTTTTTATGCCTGGTTTTAAAGAAAGGGGTGGCAGGGAAGGAAGAAACCCAAACAGGGTATTGCTTTAATCACGGTTACCACTAATTTTCTGAGAGCAGCAAGGCGCGTCTAAGAACTCCAATAAATGTATACTAAATTTTATGTGTCCCATACATGTTTTCTGGGAAAAAGGGCCCTTGAGCTTTGAACATAATCTCAAAGGAAACAGTGACCAAAAAGGTTAACAACCTCTTGTTGAAGGTTTGCTTTATCGAACGGAAGAAACAGTTCTCCCTCTCCCCTCCATGCCAGGAATACCCAGCCTTCCAGGTGTGCCGCCTTTGGTACCATCCAAGACCTTGGGATGGGTAACCATCCCTGCCTCCACGGCCCGGTTTGCTGGTTACCCTGCTCTTTGGTTCTGTTTCTCCATGCGTGCTTCTGCAAGCTGCCTCAACGTCCCCCTTCCTCGGCAGTTGTCCTAATCTGTGTCCCTGAAGAGCGGTTCCTCAGCGGCCGCCTCATTTGGGTGGGATCCACGTGACACTCATCACATTTGTCAACCTCCCCATTTTCCTCTCTCTTTTGGGGCCACTGGCCTTTGCCCCGTGCTGGAGAGGTAGACCCCCGCCCCTCCGACTCTTTACCCTCTTCCTGGTTGGGTTTGGCGGATACTTTCACGCACGTCCCATCACGTTCCTGTCCTACCATTCCCAGATGGTGTGAATTCTTTTCCTGGCCCACTCGAAAGATGTGAGAAAGAAATGGTGCCTGGAGTACTCTCTCTGCTTCCCCAAAAAGAATATTACACAAAACCAGTAAGCGCTTTGTGTTTGGGTCCATGATTCCGACATATGACCTGGAGAAGCAGAGTCCCCTGCACCTGCCTTGACCATGGCCTCCTGAGAGTCCCCAGGGCCACCAAGCCCCCCATTCCAAGTGCTCTCCTTGAATGTGACTCGGCTCTTCCCACAGTCCGCCCAGCCTGGGTTAGGGAATGGGAGCTCTCTCTACTACACTCTTCTCCACAATATTCTAAAACCTCCTCTCTGTCCTTGTAGAGAGAGCGCAGATGGGTAAGTTTTTTCCCCCCTAAAACTTGCCTAAAATCACCGCGTCGGGCCCCGAGGCGCCCGGGATGTGAGGGCGGGGAGGTGGCTGCCGGGGC